TAATAGTTTTTAGTTCTTATCAAAATTTATACTTTATAAACTTCGTTTTATAATTTTTCAAAAATATATTTTTTAATTTAACTTTGTATCTTAAATATTTCTTGTTTTCTTTATTGAAATAAAATTTTCTTGAATCTGATTTAATATTTTTAAAAGCTTGTGTTTTATATTTTAACTTTTTCTTTTACATTTGTCGGTCATTTGGAACAAATTTAATAACACCTCAATGCACCCTGTCACTTTTGTATACCACGACATATGAATGAATACATCCTTTTGTATTCATTTATTTTCTATATTTATCTTTATACCTCTATATCTATCTATTTATCTTAATATTTACCCATCAATATCTATTTTTCTACACTAATTTTATTGAAGTGCTTGATGTTTGTTGTATAGTTTCTGCTATGACAGCTCAATTTCCCTCTCAGATTAACAAAGTCTCTGATTCTGATTCATGTTTATTTTTGTTTTACATTTTGTTTTAAATTTGTCCACTTTTTCTATTGTTTATTTAAGCTTTTGTTAAACAGTTTGTTTTATTTTATTATTGTTTATTTCGTCCAAAGTTTGGGTATTTTTGTTCAGGCGGACAGGTCCTGCAGGATCACTGAATTCTTCGGTACGTATTTTTCTGTTACACCTCAGCGCTCTCACGCTCGACCTGCGCGTGCCCGCCGTCGCGGTGCCCTGTCCCTTTAAGAGCCTCGTGTTGTTACAGGAAGTGTGAGGGGTGTTTCCAGCTGATCTGAACAACAGGAGGACCGGAGTCTCCCTCAGCAGTCCGACCTGTCTGGGCTTTTTTCGGGCACCTTAGCAAAGCTCGCCGGTCCCGACCTCCGGCGGCTCCTTTGCGCCGCGAAGAGACAGTCGTTCCGGGGTAAATCAGGAGGAGAGCCGGGGGCTTATTCTCGTCCGATAGCCGTGAGCCGGTGCCGTCGGAAGCTGTTAGCTCGGACTGTCATGATCCCAGCTCGGAGATGGCGTCCTTCCCCGGTTTGTGTAAGGCTGTCGGGCCCGCGGAGGAGGAGAACGGGGAGCTGGACGGATCCCTGCAGCAGATGCTGAAGGCCATCGCGGACGAGAGGAGCCGCCTGAACAGCCGACAGGAGATCAGCGGCATCGGTGAGTGTCTGCGGGCTTCTTCGTATCCACACAGGCAGCACCTGAACTCCCGTGAGCAAGGATGAGCCCTCTGACGTGTTTCAGGCTGGCTCTCATTTATCTGTGGGTCTGGTTTACTTTGGAGCAGGGCCGGATCTATCTGCTGAAGGCCCCCGGGGCTGTACTCTGGTGTTGGGACCCCGTGAAGACCCAAACACAGTGCTCTCCTCGCTTTCTAACCCAGCAGATGTTTCCATGTTTAAGCATTGGTGGACATTTCTTTAAACTAAAAACTAAAGACAGGTGTGAAAAGGTTTTTTTAGTTAACCAAAAAAGTCTAAAAATGCACATGCTGTTCAAACAGGGTTCGGGCTTAGAGCCACAGCGCACAGTGGAGTTTTAAAAATACAGTAAATAACTGTCAATGTTAAATAAGAAATTGCAGGTCCTCTAGTGTCCACCAGAGGCTCCAGCAGTGAACAAATGTCCAACTTTACAGCAGAATAAAAGCCCCAAAATATTGGAGTGATTATAAAATAATGATCTGAAGGCAGCTTTGATCAATAAAAATAATAACTGACATAATGTAATGACATTTATGGTTAATTTTCTAAACTCTGAGCTCCACAAAGGTCAGACATCTGTTTTCTGAGGAGGACCTGAATGTCTCCTGTAATGACATCAGCTGCCGTGGATCCTCCATCTCTGTGTTTCTCTTTTTTGCAAGGACTGTGTCGAGTCCTCGTGACTGCCTTGTCGTCCGGTCCTCGTCACGAGCCTCGTTGAAAATAAAAATGAAAGTTGATCTTTGCTCCGGCCTGCGTTTGCCGCCAACATCGTCGGAGCGCCGCTCCGCCTGTTTCTGCTGCTCATTTGTTCTGATGGATAAATCAATGAAGCTCTGTTCACAGCACATGACTTCATCACAGCAGCTTCACTGTCATCACCAGGAGCAGAGCAAATGTTAGACACTGCAGTGCTACCTCTGCTTCGTGTCGTCATACAGTCTCGAGCCAGGCCTCATTTCTTTCTTTCTTTTCCACTGTATTAAACTAAATAGAAATCAGAGTTTGTACAAATCTGATGAGCTTGAAAGCTGATCTGTGGTCTGACCACATTATTTCCTCCTGTCATTACAGAGATGAGCCCGGTCTTGGGTCTTTTCAGATTCTGATCATCTGCTGTAGATGGTTTTTAGGCCTCACTCTTCTTCTTTTGTCCTTCACTTGTCCACTTTTCCTTCTTTTAAAATAAATAAATAAAATTATTTTTCTATTTTTTTTTTTTTAGGACACACCACGCTGAGATAATCTAGGTCTTCAGCTCTTTGAAAATGACCTTGTTAGTACAAAAATCGTATCGATGTTAACCTGTTTTATCTTTGGCACATTCTCATTTCTTTAACAGAACTAAAGAAATGAAGTGTTTCAGGGATCATCTGGTAATAAAAGACATGATTAAATGATTTGTTGCTCAGGTGGCCATCATGTGCAGTTGCAGCACTGGTTCATCCTTGAATTTGGAGCCTTTTCATGTTTGAATGATTCACAGGTCAGAGTTCAGAGGATTAACAAACACGATCCTATGGAAATGCTCTGGTACGAGGACTGGACTGAAAAGAAGTGAAAAAGCAGCCAGTGTCCAAAGAAGAACTTGTACTGCTGTTTAAGAGCACTTTAAAAATTCACAGAAACTCTTGACTCCTTAAAAGCAAAATATAATGAGTTTTGGCTCAAGACTTCTGCACAGTATCGCAAACTAAACATTGGGTCTTTGAGCGTTGATCACATGAAACATCCTCAACTTAAATAATAATGAAACCATGTTGATGCAGTTTGACTCTACGTGTTCCTCAAGGCTGTGGCTTCAACTTCATTATTCATGGTTTTATAATACAGTGGACCGTTTATTAGCTGAACTCAAGGAGAGAAAGTCAGTCTGTGTTAGTTTTATATTTAAGGCCACAAACACAATTATTTAAACTGAGCTAATTTTTTAATAGACTCTGGATTAGTTTACAGTGACGCAGATCTATTTTTTTCTGAATAAGAGCAGGTTTCCAGACTAATCGATCGATAACTTAAATATCGTAGAGAAGAGGAGTCTGTGGATACGTCACAGCGTGTGTGTGACACCTGCGGTATCACACACACGCACCCCTGTGGTGTCACACAGGGCAACATTTAATGGTAAAGACTGTACAGCGGGGCTGGAGGTGCTCCTGTTTCTTCATGCAGACTCTGTCGTGTCCTTGGATGCTCCTCTGCAGGCGGCTGGTGGTGACTCAGGTCTGATCCGACAGTGACTCAGGTCTTTGCTCTGATCACAGAATAACTCGGATCAGTCTGTCAGACGCAAAAACCTGGTGATGTCGCTAAAAGCATGGTGAGTATATAAGCTCACACACAGCTGACAATCACGACAGCTGACTCAATAAGGAAACTGAGGTTTTTCACATTAAAAGCCTAAGGGATGTGCTTACAGTTCTGTTTTTGCTCGTTTACACTGTAAGAATTTATTTTATTTTAGCTTTTATGATAAACCATGAGCTGAAAATGCTTCAGATATTTCACTTACCAAGCTCTTCACAGGAAATGATAACCAGCTGCCTCCCTCCTCCATGTTGGGGAAACGTCCTCCAGCTCGCCGCTGAGCCATCACTATCAGACCGTGGGCGGAGAGGCTCTCTGGAGAGTCAGCTGAATGAAAACACGGGAGCGGAAGGGGAAAGGCGAGCTGAGTATAGCGGGTGAACTTTCAAAATAAGAGCATAAATCCATTGCAGCTAGCGTAGCTCTTGGGGCAAAGCTCCACCTGGGCAGTCCACACAGGTGAGGTCTGTGTGTGGTGACAAGTGGCATGATGTCATAATAGGCAGCTCAGAACTCTGGGTGTGACTATTATTCTGCATCCACACCTGAATAAACACAGCTGCTGAAAGTTTGATAGAAAATAGAAAAACATGGAGGGCGATTAGACCGCCTCGGTGCTTTTTATCGGTTGGTGGCGGCTCGTATAATTTGAATACGAGCTCTTATTTGAGAATTCACGGTCTGAACTATAAATACTCGCTGAGGCAGTGAAGCGGCAGCCAGGCGAGGCAGAGAGATGAACATGAATGATTTATCTTTAATTACCTCCTGCTGTAAATACTCTGACATCGAGCGCAGCTTTCACGCTGACGCTAACGGTGAGAGCGTCCATCGATCGTCTGAGATCTGCTCTTCAGGAACTGTGGTGCAGAGTTACCGCCGATCTGACCGTGACTCGCTCTCTGCTGACAAATTATTACAAATCCTGCTAAATATTTAATGAGGCCGCAGTCCGAGTCCGGGCAGAGGTGGTTGAAGTGCTCCAGTTTGTGTCTACGTGCACATATGTGTGTGACCGCAGGACGTCACAGCAGGAGGCCTCCAAGCTGTGTACAGTCTGTCTGTGGAGTGGACTGTTGGAGCCAGACTGTAAAGGTTTAATGTACAGGACCAGTTGTTACCGTCGATTTCCTTTAATAAGCGAATGCAAACATCTCAGTGCTGCGTTTATTTAGCCGATTGGTTTTTAGCTTTAATTTATGTAAGGCTGTAAACTTTGAGCTTCTAGACAAAGGTTTTTGTAATTTGTTTAACAAAAAGTAAAATCAGACCTGTTTGGATCATTTTCAGAGTAGCTTTGCATGATTCACAGTTTAAAATAATCCTGTATTTATTCCCGAGCCTTGCTTTAAAACTCCGTATTTCCCAGATCGTTGGTGAGTGGTTGCTTGAGGTCACTGGCTGGTTTCAGCGAGGGTGACAGCAAAACAAACCTCCCTGTGGCTGCTTTGGTCAGTAGAAGATTGCTGCGGTCTCGTGTAGCTGGAGTTTCACTCAGTGTGTCTGCAAACACAAGTGTGACACTGGAAATGTTCCTCACCACTGTGACTTTAGTGACCCTCAGTGCGCTCAGAAAGAACATGTTGATTATATTTAAAGCACAGTCTGTGTAACCTTTTAATTTAATATTCCAAATATTTCCTCCCAGCTTTGGGTTTGCCTCCAATGTTGGAGAGGAAGCTAAGCTTAGCTGTGTTGGCTTCATCACGTCAAAGTCAGCTTTGTGGTTGTCATACTGATGCTCAGCTGGATGGTACGCCAACGCTCTCTCAGCTGCTGTACAACATCTGTGACATGCAGATTGTATCAGAGCAGAATGAGCGCTGGCCAGTCAAAGGTTGTAGGTGTGAGTATTTGCATTTTTCTTTAAGTTCATTGGAGCTTAATTACGAAGCACTTTCAGACGTTTGGCCTCAGTGGCTCAGTCAGGCGTTGCAGAGAGTCTCGCTGGTTCATTCGGCGCTGGTGCGTGCACTTTGTTCATCCTTTCATCCAGGTCACTGGAGCTTCGAAAGCACATCACACAGGATTATATAACTGTCATGAAAAATGCAGCAGGCCTACCACGGCTCATGATATTTCTACCCACTGCTGCAGAGAGATTTGGGGTGATTCAGCTCACTTTCCTCAGATGATGAGTGATAGTGCGCCGGGCTTCATAACACAGTTGATGTATTTTTAAAATGGCATATGCAGCTATAAATAGAGCCGGACTTTTATCAACGTCCCAGAGGCTCCTGCAGAACTGTACTCTGCTTCAGTCAGCTGTGAGCCTTTAACACCTTTAAACAACACTCTGAAGCCCAGGTGACATTATAACAAGATACCTGGGTGAGTTTAAACTAAATGACACTGTTCAGCACATCAAGGCTGACTCATCCTCGTCTCACATCAGAATACATTTCCTTCAATGTAATTCATACATTACAGTGAGCCTTCACGGGATGATTTTGTTTTTTACTGTTCTCTGGTTCATGACGTCATCATCTTCACCTTCGTTGCAGTGTGAAGCTGTGATTTCAGGGATCTGCAAGTGGGGTTATGTCACACTCAGACATGGTCACAGTTTCTGTCATAAAATCTTTTCATGAAAGACTCGATCTAATCGATTATGCGGACTGCTTAGTATGACATGCGTGGTAGCTAGTG